ATGACAAATGAAGTTTTACATAAACTTTGTTCAAAACATGAGTTTAAATCATACTCTGGATTACCTCACAGCTCAAGTCCACAGGTGAGGAAAAATGAATAAGAGATAGTTATTGCTTTAATTTTTTTGCTCGTCAAGTGGGTGTAATTCATACTGGAAATGGTTTCACAGCTGCTAAATGGTCACATGATGTCCTAACCTTTTCTCTCCCTAGATCAAATATCAACTTTCCAAAAGGCCAGTTATATGCTCTCTTATGAATTCTCTTATGATTTTAGATCTGGCCCCAGTTGTTTGAAGGTTGGATAGTGTTATCTACTGAATAAAACTCTATCCAGTGGATAATGCTACATGTTTTGCTATTGCTTATCTGCCGGATAGTGATTTATCCATTTGATAGCTTTATCTGCCCTTTATACAACTGGACCCTGATAATTTGGTATTAAATTGAACAAAATCCTTTAGTTGCTATTATTGTAATTATTCTTTTTTTGTGCTTCTCATTGTATTTCTACTTGAAGATGTATTTATTGTTGAGATAAATTTATTTTGGTGCTCCTTCTTTGTTAAGTTAAAAGTTTTTTGGCTTTCTTTTCAGGAAATGAAAGATGTAAGAGAGTGGATTTCTAAAGTCTTACCCTAGAAAATTTGACTAATTTGGATTGATACTTACCTCTCCATTTTACAACTTGCATGTATATGTACAATTTACTTATACATGTATACACACACATACACACATATATATTTAAATAAATACTTCTATTATGTATGTATGTATGTCTGTATGTATGTTTGTGAAATAACAAAATACTTCTTCCTCAGGATTTATAGCATGTTCTAAAATTCAGCAGGTCCAGTCAATCTTTGCCTTTTTAACTAGTAATGCATTATTTTCTAGCTGTTACAAATTAAAGTAATCGTTCATTTTGGGTATGTTCATCCCATGTGGAGAGAGGATAGACAAAGAATTCCTCTTTTAATTGTCCACTTTAATGTGATATTTTACATGGCCTGCCTGTGATAAAAACAGGTAGTTATTAAATGTCCTTAATCCTGGGGTCAGTGGTACGATTTGAAAATAACTCCCAGCTTGTTTTTAAAATGCAAAGTGATGTGTTCATTTGGGGAATGTTTGCTTCACTTCATCTTTACATTACAAGTTGTTTTATATTTGTTTCTTCACAACACTGAACTTTGCTTGTATGTGCCCCTTTCCCTTCGAATCAAAACAAATTGTAGCATCTTTCTCCTCTCTTTCTTTAAAGAGGTCCGCCTCATTTTTCTCTCTTTTAAAGTGTGCAGTGGCTACCGTTACCTGCTTCACTGAAATGAAAAATTTAGATACTCATATCCTGTCTTTCTTCAAATGTTTTCCCGGCCTTGTGCCTGCAAACTTGCATAATTGAGGAATTTTTTTAGTAAGCTGTAATTGTAAATTATAGAAACATAAACTTGTAACTAGAAGTGATACTTTTTTGAAGTGAGAATGACAACACAATTGCTTAGGAAAAATTTCTTCAAATTGTGTTATTAGCTACAATCAGTGATTTATAATAAATGAAGTGTTGTTCCCTTCTGTAACTGTTGTATATACAGGATGTTAGAAGTCATCCATGCATTAAATTCACATGTAGCTGCACAAGCAATCAATTTGTTCGTCTGTTTGCCCTCAATCTGCATTTATATTTTAATCATTTGGTTTTTGTGGATAAATCTGCCCATGATGATTACTTATCAACCCAATTCATCAGACTGTATGCGGTGAATCATTCTTTCACCCAATCTATTAATTAATCAATCAGTTTTATTTATACATTACTTAATCTATCAAGCAAGCAAGCTATCAGTGTTTCTTGCCATCATTCTGCAGTGTATGGATTCAACATGTTGATTCAACTTAAATGGTTAATTTATTAAGTCAGTCAATCCATCCACCAATCAAACTTTGCATGATACTTCCACTGACTCTACTGATTAATAAATCAGTGACAGTTGTACCATACTTCATCTATCAAGCAAGCAAGCTATCAATCTTTGTTGCCATCATTCTACAGTGTATATAATCCACTTGATCGTTAATTCATCAAATTTTGCATAATACTTTAACTGGCTCTACTGATCTGATTAAATAATTGACCATAGTTATACCATACTTCATGTATCAAGCAAGCAAGCTATCAATCTTTGTTGCCATCATTCTACAGTGTATAGAAATAACATGTAGAATCACCTTAAATCATTTATTTAATAAGTCAGTCAATTCATCCATCAATCAAACTTTGCATGATACTTTCTCTGGCTCGACTGGTTGAACAATTAATAATAGTTATACCATACTTCATGTATCAAGCAAGCAAGCTATCAATCTTTGTTGCCATCATTCTACAGTGTATATAATCCACTCGATCGTTAATTCATCAAACTTTGCATAATACTTTAACTAGCTCTACTGATCTGATTAAATAATTGACGATAGTTATACCATACTTCATGTATCAAGCAAGCAAGCTATCAATCTTTGTTGCCATCATTCTACAGTGTATAGAAATAACATGTAGAATCACCTTAAATCATTCATTTGTTAAGTCAGTCAATTCATCCATCAATCAAACTTTGCGTGATACTTTCTCTGGCTCTACTGATTGAACAATTAATGATAGTTATACCATACTTCATGTATCGAGCAAGTAAGCTATCAATCTTTGTTGCCATCATTCTACAGTGTATAGAAATAACATGTAGAATTACCTTAAATCATTCATTTGTTAAGTCAGTCAATTCATCCATCAATCAAACTTTGCATGATACTTTCTCTGGCTCGACTGGTTGAACAATTAATGATAGTTATACCATACTTCATGTATCAAGCAAGCAAGCTATCAATTTTTGTTGCCATCATTCTACAGTGTATAGAAATAACATGTGGAATCACCTTAAATCATTCATTTGTTAAGTCATTCAATTCATCCATCAATCAAACTTTGCGTGATACTTTCTCTGGCTCGACTGGTTGAACAATTAATGATAGTTATACCATACTTCATGTATCAAGCAAGCAAGCTATCAATCTTTGTTGCCATCATTCTACAGTGTATAGAAATAACATGTAGAATCACCTTAAATCATTTATTTAATAAGTCAGTCAATTCATCCATCAATCAAACTTTGCGTGATACGTTCACTGACCCTACTGAATAACCAATCAGTGATGGTCGTACCATACCTCATGTATCAAGCAAGCAAGCTATCAATCTTTTTTCGCCATCGTTCTACAGTGTATAGAATTGACATGTAGAATCACCTTAAATCATTCATTTATTAAGTCAGTCAATCCATCTATCAATCAAACTTTGCGTGATACTTTCACTGACTATTGATTAACCAATGAGTGATAGTTGTACCATACTTCATCTATTAAACGATGACGCAAGCAATCAAAGTCTTTCTGTTAATCCATGTATCATTAATTTTTTTCATACCAGGTAAATCCACTCGATCGTTAATTCATCAATTCAGAAAATCAAACTTTTCATGATATATTAATTCAATCATCAATTAGTCAGTTAACGTTGTACCTTACTTCATCTATCAACCAATTAAGCAAGCAATCAATCTTTCTGTTGATTTTGGTATGAGTCGTGTGGTTTTGTTTGAAATCCACTTATTATCATTGATTCGTCGATTCAGTCAATTAAACCTTGCATGATACTCTCACTCATTCAATAAGTGATAGTTATACCATACTTCATTAACCAAACAATCAAGCAGACAGCAGCGGCGGATCCAGATCTTGAGCCAAGGGAGGAGGGCCCGGTTTTTTGCCAGCTTTTCTTCTTTCTACGATTTTTTTTCACCCATGATAAGGGGGGCCCGGGCCCCTCCCTCAGATACGCCATTGGGTAATAAGTCGGTTCTCTCGTCTACCGATCTGTGTATGATGAAGTAACCAGGTCCACCGTGGTTACCTAATTATTTCTTAATCGAACCTACGATCATGAGAGTGATGAAAATGATCGCTAACGATTGACGCTCTCGATTGCTGAGCAACTTCTCTCTGTGAGTACCATATAAAATGTACAGAGGGCAGTGTGGAGAATATGCATACTGGTCATAGGGAGAAAATGGTCCGAGCGCGGCTAGCATTGTTTAGGAACAAGAAGACGGGTTTGATTGGGGTGCTCTTTTTAAACGCTGGTCATCGTCTACCGTCATTTAACTCTACATCAACCAATGGGACGCTACATGTCCTTTGAGGCCGTGACGCTAATAATGTAGCACTAAGTGCTGCAGGCGAGCCAAGGGTTAAAGGCAAGATTTTGGCTGCTATGCTCCGGTCTCCTTCTGAATCGTTCTTTGATATGTTGCCCAAAGTTTATCCCAGAGACATAATATTACAACCGAACGGCGACAAAGGAGCATAGAAATACGCCAGTCCTTTTCGCTGTCGGGCTAGTTAAGGTGGTTAGGTGATACACAGACGGTCACAAGCCTTGCTCCCCTATGAACATGTAAAGGGTAAATTGACCAAACCTCAGGGTAACTATAAACTCAAAGTAATGGGACCGTGTAATAGTATACACTTGATGAATGGTCCTGAGAGAAACAGTTAAATTTTGTTTTGCCGAGAGTCGTGATGTTTCCCTCGACTTCGTCTCGGGAAACATCAGGACTTGAGGGAGAACAAAACTAACTAGTTTCCCGTGGGACTATACATTAAGTTCTTTGTTATATATTTAGACTTTCCCTTAAACAATCATATGGCAAAAACATGGTGCGCGCGGGCAACAACTACGCAATTGTATCCCGGTCGGGATACATTTGAATTTGATCAGGGGCACGTAACTAAGAATCAACCAGTCACGGTGTCCGTTTTGTTGAGTGAAAGTCTAGATATACAACAGTACAGGTTATTTGTCACGTAAAATTGTCAGAAGGGCTAATACATTCCGCAACAGTAACAAAAAAAGAGTGATAATAAATTACAGAGGATTACCAATCTTTATTTTCGTACTAGTGATGTAACTCAGGAAATTATTACCGATAGTTTCATTAATAAAAACTTAATGTTTCTTGCATTTGAGATAGTGAACTCTCTTTCAACAGCGAGTAACAGTAGGGAATATTTCTGGAATGGAGAGTCACGATATGGGTCGTGACTGAAATCTCTGTTTTAAAACAATTTTTATTAGCAGCAACAAACCAGCAGTGATTCATGGGGAAAAAATCAGTTAGTAAAGCTGAGGGTATTCGTGCGACGTGCGCAATGTGCATTTTGTGCTCTCCCAACAAAGCTCTGAAAGATGTCTTGAAGGATAAAAGCCGGTCATTAGTTGACTTGTTGTAATCTGTCAAGAAACTTTGTAGCTTCCCAGTAAGCCGATCCAAGGTAATTTTCCTCATTGAAGTCTAGGGTTTGAAGATTAGAAGCGGGAAATCTTGATAAGGGATTCTGAATAGTTCTTGGTGTAAAGGACGAGGGTGTTAAAACGTTTTCCTTGGCAGCGTCTTCTCTCTGGTTCGTATCCCAGTCGACGATCTGTAAATGAAGCATTACAGATTGCGGTATTACTGCGAACAACCAAGATATTTTTTAATAGACAAGCATTCTTCAATTAGATCTGTATAGATATTCACACAAACTCACACAGGACACTGCGTTGTGATAAACAATGAATCCTAACAATTGATACCCTTATTTAAAAATCTCATAATACACATCTGTTGTTAGGATTATCCCCAATGATACCATTTTACCTATCCTCTAATCAAGGCAAAGCCCACGGATCAAATCGAAAAACGTGACTTCCCTTTGCTACTTTGACACCATAGGGCCCCACCCTTACCCGACGCTTAGGAACCAGGCCTAACTAACCTTGGAGACGTGCCGGAAAATCCAAAAATAAAAAACACAGAAAATGTATACACTTAATATAGGTCCTTGAACGCGAAAGGATTTTAAACGCTTTGATATATAACGCGCGCGTTTCATTGCTAAGGTATGTAAGTGAGCAAAAAGAGAATAAGTTAATATTCAATTTTTACTTATTTTTACTTGGATCTTAAGCTTGTAGACTAAAATGTGAATTTTTTTTTCTGAATAAATAGTCCTATTAGAATATTTACCCTTTGGCCAGTGAATCCTTTCTCTCCATATTTCTCAAGCGCTCCCTTCATTAAGTCAATTTGAGCAAGAAGAACTTGCCTCTCGTTTATCAAATCGTCCATTGCTCCAGTTTGTGAATTGTTTGTGTCTTGAAGTTCTTTCTCTTTTAATCTTAAACGTCCTTGTAACACGAGCATCTGTTCCTTAATTCGTTGATTTTCCTCTACGAATCTCTGTGCTTCAAGGGAAGTATTCAATGAAGGACCCGTGAAGGTAGCAGGCGATGACTCCACGTTAAACAGGTTTCCAGACTCGCTCTGGATCAGTCCGCCGACGAGAGGTTGAGACGCACCCTCGTTCGCAGGTGTTGAAGTCATAGGAGTTTGAAGCTTCATCCTTTGAACTTCGTCCTCAAGTTGATCGACTTGAGATTGCAAACGCTTGCCCTGTTTTAGCAGAAATTCGTTCTCTTCACTTAACTTTGAGTTTTCCTGTTCAATTCGCGCTTGGTTCTCCCTCAGATCTCGTAACTCAGTCTCTGAAAAGTTATCCGACATACTCTCTTTTTCTCTGCTTTCTTCCTCCTGTTTTTCTCTCACGACTAAAGCCTCTTTTAAATATCGATTTTCTATCTCCAGATTTTCTTTGTCTTGCAGCAATTGTTCATTCTCTTTTTGGATTCCAGGAACGTCAATTCCTTCGGTATGACCAGATCTTCTTAGGCTCTCCGTTTCAAGATACAGAACCTGATTTTGCCTTCTTAACACCTCATTGGCTCTTTTCAGAGCTTGAATTTCAGTTTTCTTTTTATAGAGATCTCTCTGAAGAACTTCCAGCTCTTCTTCGAGCCGACCTTGCTCTCTCATTGACGACGAGAGCTGTTCTCTTGTTTGATTGAGATCTTCAGGTTCTAGAAGACTCGTCTGTAATCCCATTTCGAGTCTCGGTGTAAGCAGAATCTCGTCGAATTTTTCCTTTTCCTCTTTCCGCTTTTGCTTTAAAGCTAAAAACTTCTCCTTAAGCTTGTTGTACTTCTCCTGCATTTTGTTCAATTCATCCTTACACGTTTCTATCTCGTCCGCCAGCTTTCCTTTGTCCATCTCAGATTCAGTTAATGATCTACTGAGCTTCTCACATTCCTCATGCTCGTCAGATTGCGCTTTCTTACTCTGAGAAACATAGCGCGCAAATTGTTCTTTCTCTTGAATCAGCTCGCTTCGAAGTACTTGGTTCTCATTCTTCAGCTCAGAGATGATTCTCTCTGACTTAATTTTATCCTGTTCCGCCTGATGCATATGCGTCAAATGCTTCTCCGTCTCCAATAATACTCTTTCTCGCCCCTTCTGTTCCGTGTCGAGCACAGAGAACAGCTTCGATAATTCTTCTGTCTTTCTCCGAACTTCCTCTTCTAAACCTTTAATTTTCCGTTCGCTTGCCTCGTCTGCTTTGAACCTTTCACTCTGGAAATTCTCTTCGAAGCGTTTCTGTGATTTCTGAAGCTCATCGCGTTCAACTTTTATTCTTGTAAGTTCATCAAATTGTGTTCTATTCGTTCGCTGCGCCTCCTCCAAATCGGACCTCAAGGTGGCAACTTCTTTCGTTTTCTTTTTAAGTTCCTGTTTTTGTGCTTTCTGAGATTCACTTATTTTGAGTTGCTCCGAAGTGAGATTAGCTTCATGTGCTATCTGCCGTTGTTGAAAATCCTCTAGCTCTTGTTTCAGCTCGTGAATTTCTTCTTGTTGAGTTTTGTTAAGTTCTTTCGCGGCTTCAAGGTCTGCTTCTAGCACAGCAACCTCCTTTGCGTGCCCTTCAGTTACAGTCAGATGTTCTGCTGTTCTGTTAGCTTCATGCGCTAATCGTTGCTGTTCAAACTCCTTCATTTCTTGCTTGAGTCTGGTTATCTCGTCTTGTTGTTTCTGATGCAGCCTCTGAGCAGCTTCCAAGTCAGCTTTAAGAGTTTCGACCGCTTTGGTATGCTCTTCGCTTGTCATGACTTGTTCCGCAGTGATGCTTGCCTCATGTGCTATTTGTTGTCGTCGAAACTCGTGAAGTTCTTGACTGAGCTTTGTGATTTCTGCTTCTTGTGCTAAATTAGTATGGCGCGCTCTTTCTAACTGGGTCTTCAAATCGGTGATGCTTTCGGCTTGCTCGCGGTTAGCTTGAAGTGCCGTTTCTAGGTCGGCCTCGAGAGTTCTGATTGTTTTTGTAAACTGTTCATTTACGGCTTCTACCCTCGAGGAAACTACATCTTCGTTGCTCTCGGCATTTATAGCTAACTGATCTTTTAAGTTCTTAAGATCTTCGTCGTGTCTTTCCTGCATTTTGAGGATACGCTCTTGGGCATTCTTAACTAAGAGTCTTTCTTGTTCAAGATTTTGGCGCAAGGTTTCAATCTCCATATTGATGGATTCGATTCTCCTTGTCTTTGAAACTGACTTACTTCGCTCTTCCTCGAGCTCTGTTTCGAGCTTCTCAATTTTTTCTTCGTAATCTTCTGCAAGTCCTTTCATCTGCTGCTCGTATTCCAGACCCAAGCCAGTCGATGGATTCGCTGCGAAGGTTTCATCGACTGCTGCCAAAGAAATCATCGGCTCCACGCTTTGAGTTTGACGAAGATTCTCAATTTCTTCATGGAGATCCTGTTTCTCGATCTCTGCCTGTTTCTGGTAATTTTCCAAGCTTTCAATCTTCACAGATAACTTTTCCATCTCACTTTGGTATTCTGCTATTTGTCTCTCTCTTTCAGAATCCCCTTCCATGACGCCTTGCCTGAGATCCTGTAACTCTTGCAGAAGCAAAGCCTTTTCGTTTTTAAATTTCTCGCAATCATCTGTAAGCTTTGCAATTTTTTCATTAAGCCTTGTGATAACTCCTTGCGACTCCACGTGGGCTTCATTAAAATTTTTGCCTTCATTTTCCATTTGTTCGAGTTTTTCCGTAAGTTTCTCAAGCTGAAGCTTGTTCTCTTGAGATTGAAACTCCAACGTATTGTTAAGATCCAGTTTCTCAGCTTTTAGAGTTGCTACTGTATCTCGCATTCTTTCAACTTCATCAGCAATCTTTACTTCGTTCAGTTTTAACTCTTCGGTAACCTTCAGATGATCCGCTTTTTTGCTGGTTATTTCGGAATCTAATCTCTGATTTTCTTCGGTAAGGTTTGCGAGCTCGTTACGCAGGATGCCAACTGAGGTTTTGTATTCTTCTACTTGAGCTTCGGAATTGGCCATTTCCTCCTTAATATGATCAAGCTGGCTCTCAAGATCTGATATTTTTGAGATGTTGTTTTCATCTTGCTTGGCAAATTCTTCATGAGTACTTTTGCTAAGTTCTAATTGTTTCTCCAGGTTTGAAATCTTTGTTTTACATTCTTGTAGTTCTGCTTCGTTGTTGCTGTTTTCTTCTCTCATAACCTCTAATTCATACTCAAGCTCGGCTGTCTTGGTTTGCAAATCGATATCAGTCTCAAACTGTTTCTCGTCTGCACTTTTCAATCTTTGAATTTCACTTTCCAGCTCAGTAACTTTTTGTTTATAGGATTCTATATCTTCTACTAATACCCGAATTTCCTCCTCTTGATTGTCCTTTATCTTCTCCATCTGTGGCTTTCCCGGTTTCCTCGAATTGTCTAGTTCATTGTTGAGATCTGTCACCACCAAATCGTATTCTCTTTTCAGACTTTCATTTTCAGCTTGCAGGGTCTCTAAACTCTCATGAAGTCGCTCAATATCTCTTTCATGAAGCCTCTTCATTGAATTCATCTCTAACTGCAGTTCTTGGTTTGTTCGATCGACTTCTTTCCCTTCAAAGTAGCTTCTCTCAGCTTCCTGCAGGCGCTTTTCGTAGTCTGAGACAACCTTGTCCAGTTTAATTTGCTCTTCTTCTTTCATTTCCTCTCTAAGCCTTTCTTCCTTTTCTTCAAATTCCTTTTCCTGATCCGCAATCATACCCTCTAGAGAATCACGCGCTTCGACAAATTCAAGTCTTTCATTTTCGAGACTTTCTTTCAACTCCTTTACTTCATTCTCGTACGCTTCAATCTGTCTTTGCATTGCCTCCAGATTTTCAGCTTTCGTCTGGTTCTCTTGAGATGTATTTCTGATCTCCTCCTTTTCTTTTCTGAAAACATCCTCCAATTGTTCGATATCTTTAGCATGCTTTTCGTTCATGTCTTCGGCTTGAGTTCTGAGCTCCAAAATGGTTCTCTCCAGTTTCTCCTTTTCACTTTCAAACGCACTCCTCGACTCATCTAGCTGCGTTTCAAACTCATTTTTCATAATCATCAGGTCCTGCGCCATTTGAGCTTCACTGGTTTCCAGCTGACTGGTCAAATCTGTAACCTGTTCTTGTAACTGGTCAATCAGGTTTTCGTATTGCTTCTTTTGAGGGAAATCCCTGGAAGTATCAGCACCAGTCTCCAATTCCTTCAGTTTTTCATCAAACGCATTTCTTAGCTTATCCATTTCCACTTTATGCTCCGTCAGAAGCTTACTTTTCTCGCTCTCGAACGTACTCTTTAGCTCGCTTAGGTTCTCCTGAAATTCAAATTCTTGCTGCTCCATTTTTTCGGCCGCCTCGGTTTTCTTGGAAATCTGGGTCTGAAGTTTCTCCTTGAGCACGGTTATCTCATCTTCATAGTTACTTTGCAACGAGGCCATCTGCTCTTTAAGAGCCTCGACTTCGGGTGAATGATCACGTGATCCCACGTCACTTGAGTCATAATCAGATTCTTTCTTTAATTCGGCGACCCTTTTCCAACGCTCCTCCCTTAGTTTCAAGTCTTCCATCTCTTTCTTAAGCATTTCTATCTCGATTTCATTTTCGCTGTTTAGCTCCTCAATTTCTCTTTTGAGTTCCAAAGTTTCTCCCCTATGCCGTGCCTCCATTTCTTGTATGTATCTGTCTTTTTTCTTGAGTGTTTCCTGAAGGGCATCTTGGTCCTCGCTGACCTACAATAAGAAAGAATTGTCTTCGTTGTTGTTGTGGTTTGAGAACTTGCTAGACAAGTCCAGCTGCACCAGGTCAGAGGGGTTCTGGCATGGCAAGGCAATTTCGTTGACGAATAGGAAGAAAGGTCGTCAATTGAGCTAAAAGAACTGTAGAATTCCTGGAGACAAATAATGAGTTATATCGGGCTACATTGTGATTTTGGATACCTCGAAGGCGCGCGAAGCATACCGGGCCAGTCAAGGTCTTTCCATGATCTTTTAATTGCATAGGAAGCTGTTGCGCATGCCTTTATCATAATTATATCTCTACCACCGAGAAACGGTCACTAAAAGTACTTTTTAGCATAGGAATCGAAATGTTGCCTAGCTGGTCAAAGAAAGTGCAATACTGATCTGTAAGAATTTCCCCTTTCTTCGATATTCTGTTTCCAGCGTCCTTGCGATTTTAAATGACATCTAAGAAAAAGTGGCTCTGTGGCTGAGAATATGGTAGAAGAATCTTCAAATCGACATCAAAGACTCACTGAATTTTAAAAGGCTATTTCCGTGGGAAATGGCAAGGCAAGGGCGATTATATCGAAAAAAATTGGCTGTTTTAAAATCAGGACTAAAACTTGGGGTTTTTACGCTTTTCCCAACACATTTGTTTTCACGTTTGACTATGAAATGGCTCGAAAGCTGTTTCAAGAGTTTCTTCGCCGAAGAGCTCTGTCACTAATGAGACAAGCAGAACTAAAACTGACTGCGTACCTGTTGCAAGTCATACGTATTTTTACTCCTCATCATGTCACGTTCTTCTATCAAGCTTTCGCATTCTTCTGACTTGCGTGACAATTTCTCACTGATCCCCTTCAGAGCATCATCTTTCTCTTGAATCTGTTTTTGCAGGTTTAACACCATTTCTGTCAGAAGTGTAGGGTCGTTAGGAAGTTCTGACCCAGAATTTTTGCTTCCATTTGGCTGCAATTGAGAAAGGTTTCAAGAAGCAAGTTAATTTTCCTAAGAGATTAAATGTCTCAAAGGAAATGTTTTGAATATTGCCAAAACTGTTGTATGAGCCGCTTAATTCTAATTTTAGACAGGCATCTTTTCCAAATTCAATAAAGCAATGAAACTTCTCACGTTAGCTTTCAAAAGCATCAAAACCGAACAGGGTAGTTTATCACACTGTATGTGGATAAAATACAAACTTTCTTTATATTTGAGAACTTGAATCTTGCGTGACAACCCTTTGGCATTGTGTTGTCATTCTTACAAATTACCGAAGTTTGATTTGTTTTACCCGTTGTTATTTCTCAAATCCTTATCCTGGTAATGATTATTTCAAGAAAGACTGATTTTGAAAACAAGCTGCCCCATTTTATAAATCACTGGATGTACATATTTTCTGCAAATAGATGTAAGAAAATCGCTACCTAGTGACCTGATTGCGGTTTAATATTTCCGCAAAAACAAAGGCGATATTCTGCTCTGAACTCTGAAGCACGGGAACGTTTCAATGTATTCGAGCGGGTGCTGATCGAAGTGGTCTTGCTTCAGGAAAGAGCACGGGGAAAATAGCGAATCAAGGAACAATCTTTTCGTAAATACCTGCACACATCATGTGAAGTTAGGTATACTATTTACACAACTTACGATTTGTCGGTTGTCAAGTAGCTGTTACTTGACTTTCATGTAACGATCACAAGAATTTCACGAGTCCTCCAAACGATGATCGACTTCACAAATATACGTGACAGCTCTTTTGATAAGTTTTCACTCACCTTTGAAGGTATTGGTATGCTAGAATTCGCATTTAATGACGCTGATCGCGCTACTGGAGTTGCTGGTGTAGTTCTTTTCACAGGAATGCTAGTTCTTCCGGCCACTGGTATCGACGATCGAGGTTTCCCGGACATTTTTCTCGGCTAGTGATTTCGAAGGTATTCAAAAGTGGTTATACTCTCCTCGAAGTTAACGAAAAGATACTTATGTGGCTTTTCTTTTACATGGGCGGCATAATATCATCCAAAATATCAACTTTCGCAGGTAGACGCGCATCTGTTGTCAAGTGAATCGAACGCTCAATTAATATTCACGCTTAACACGCCGAGATGTAATTAGTATTCATCTGTCAATCAAGTGTATCGGATCAATTTCAAAGGAGTGATAATTTATAGGTTTGTAACAGGCACCTTTCACTAATTACCATGTAGTTTTAAGCCAATAAGGTTTACAAGTTTTTTTTAGGTCAGCCACGTAAATCAGGTTTTCTTCTGCCGAGATTTGTTTAACAACCTAAAGGGATGTAATTACAGTCTCACTCGTTGGTGTTATTTTACGTCAGATTTCAACCCAACACGTAGCATCTTTCAAATGATAATTGCAAATCGTAGGCAGCCACGTTCGGAATGATAAACAAGAAAAGTAGCGGAGAAACGGAACTCAAAAGGATCGACCTGTAAGAAATTGTTTTGTTTTTGTTTCGTTTGTTTGCTTGTTTGTTTGTTCCAATGAATTTAAAAAAGTTTTCCCGACGGCTGCACCATGCCGCCGCAGTTGAGTCCTAGCATAGACGTAATTTCTGTCAATGGAAATAGCCGCACTAAAATGGAAATCTCGTTTCCAAAGAAAGGTCCCCCCGGAAGTAGATATCTTTAGTAAACGAGGAGTAAGACACACGAAAGACCAGTGGCTTTAAATGTGCGAGAGCAGCAGCAAACCGATCATTTCATCAATGGTAATCATGCGCTCTGTTGGTTTCACTCTCTGGTTCTAGTTTTTCTAGCCTTCGATACCCATCTACTTGTGTCTCCAGTTTAAAGTGGATCTGGAAACAACTCCACCCTCCCCTCCCCTCCCCCCTCCCGTAGTGGACGTCCAGCAAAGAAGAAAACCTTAGCAATATCGACTGCTAAATAGTAAGGATGCCTATTAAATGGTAGGCTTTGTGTCTCCTCTTTCTTTTTTATACTTATCTAATGATTTCTATATCTGTAATATCTATACCTATTTCTATAAGACCAAAAGGGACTAGAAGAATCAAACGGCTTCCCTTTTTCGTTTTTGTCACAATAATCACTTTAGACTGTTTGCTGTGAAATATAATTTGATAATACAGTGAAAACCATTATTTTTTTTTAGGCAAATTCATTTCACAGGTACGAAAAATTCAGTCAGCTTATGTAAATAGGAAACGACACCCTCGTCAAGTTAGTTCATCTCTTTCAACATTGTAAACTTGGTTTCTAATATAAAATTTCATCATGTGTTACAGTTCCATGACACTGATATCATCTCTTCCTTACAAATTATAAAATTCAGCTGCTTTTGGATTGTACTTTTTAATTCAGCGTTCAGAACTCAACAGATGCCAGGAATGACCCAGTCTTTTAATAATCTAACATCGTGCAGAAAGAAATGCACCTGCTCCTGGTAGTTTTTCCGAAAAGTAACCTGAAATTTGCTGCAATTAAGTTTAAACAAGAGAATAAGAACCGCAGTTTACAATCTCTTGGTTTGAAGAAATCAGTTTGCTTCTGCTGCTAAGTAAGGGAAGATTTCATGTCGATTCAGGCTGAATCCAGTCTCTCTACGTCAAAAACGAAATAATAAGCAGCCTATCAATGATTAGTGGTTTAGTGCTTTCCTGCGTGAAATCAACCAATGTTCCTCACTTAAAGATGGTATCTTTCTCACTTACTTATTGTTAGATGCAGTAATTTACAAAATGCCTTATTGTAATCTGAAATGAAGGGCTAAGATAGCAGTGACAACAACATCCTAAAAGATGTCATTTAATGTTTTGTTTTCGGTCGTAAACATGTTTTGTAAAGTAGTTATGGTTTTTGGAAAATTTCTTTGTAAACTGAAAATGGTCCATTTGATGGCCAGAGATCGGATAAAAACGAAGTCTTTCACCGTGTTTGCCGAAATAAAGCTGAGAATGATTTTGCCTTTTAACTAGTTTAATTAACTTATATCAATAAACTTTTGAACACTGCAAACGTTTCACACCAAATTTATTGTTCTCCTGACATGAAGGAAATATCATGTTATCATACCTTTTGTCATTTTTCGAGTTAAGAATGTAACTTTTGTCATTTTTCATTTGATAAACCGTTAAAGTCGTTAACACAGATAAGGTCTTAGGAAGTTCGTTTACGATCGCCATATATAATTTTTACGCTTTTCACCAGAAGTTTTGAAATTGAGAATATTATGTTCTTTGACTCAGTTGATTGACAGTATGTCGGATGATTTAAAGGGAATCAACTTGTTTGTGTCTTTTAAAAGTTGACTTATCATGCCATCCTATTACGACAGCAGCATTTCACCAATCATTGACCTCTGTTCTAGGCTGCATGGTGCATTTGTTTGAAAAATGATGTCGGGAGATGTTTCACTAAATTATTCCGTTTCCTGACACTTGAGAAACACGGAAAGATACATTTGTCAATAGCAGAAATTATCTGACCGATTCTATAATCTAAAATTCTCCAATTTCCGTACAAATTGTCAGACGAGGAAAACACTATTGAAATATTGTATAAACATTACGTAAACTTTTAGAAACTGTTGGATGCACTAAACATAACTTTTTTGTGGCAAGCAGTACTGTTTGGCCAATCTTTTATATCCAAAAGGCTGTCATTGTATTTGTGAATTTCTTGTGATTTGCTGGCGACTGCTTTGATTTCCACTTAAAAAGCATATTGTGGCTTGATTTAACTATGAAGCGAATCGCCTTTATTCTTCTGACAAATTTGCTCTTGGTGGAAGGTCGCAAACTCTCCATCTGGGAAGATGAAAAAGAGCGAAAAGCAGATCTTGATGAGAGAGAACGAAGGATGCCTCAGGTTCGTATTGCTTTCAGTTTAAGTCTTCTGGTAAACAGATAAGGTTAATCAGTATATTCTTTTTATCTCAACAGAGTTTTTCTCGTATGATCGCTTTTATTCGTCTTGCTATGGGCATGAATAATACACACAGAAAATTTCTCGTTGTCTTAACCGAAGAGATTCTATGTCAGTCTGATAGGATAACAAATTCTGTTTTCCCTTATGCTACGACTCTCTAATTCCCCTGCCACTGTTTACAGTCTTACAACAGCTGGTATTAGATCAAGGTTTAGACTGAAAGGTTTCAAGATAAAATTAAAACGCTGCTTGGTGGAGAAATACCTGTTTTTATTCCTCAAATCCCGTACATCTTTCAAATACAGACAATTTCTTTGGAGTTAACGAGTACCCTTTCCATAGTCGTGCTTAAAACTGTGATTGCCATTTGTTCCTCAGCCCTAATACAAAGCACAACAGCATACTAAACTGTTTCTATTCTAAATCATCAATATGTTCCAATGATCGGTTTTAATGAACAGATTTCCTGGTAAACGGTATTATGGACATATAATGCTTTAACTTGACAAACGAAAACGTGAGGAGAGGCAGCCTAATCTCCCTAGCCAGAGGCTCATGTTAAAAACGCCCGAAAAAATGAAAATGCCATAGTTTATCCTTTGAGTCTTAGGTAATAACTGTAAACGTACTCGTTGTTAGTACTGCAGATCCAACGATGACTGTGGTCAGTCTGGTTGCTGCTTTGAGTTGACCCACGAGTGTTTTCCGCTAAAAGGAGAAAAAGAGGCGTGTTTGCCGGAGGTATCCAGATGCATACTCTATATAGCTGCTATTATCTGATTTCCTTACGTTCCATCTTAAATTGTAACGACTTCATTCTTACGGTTAGCTTTTTACATGAATATCTAAAGAAGTGCTGGATTATATTCGCTTTGTTTTACTTGCGTATGACTTTCGTGTAGAAAACTCCTCTCAACCAATCAGACAGAAAACTGAAAGCAAACGTGTATTAACAGTCACTCATGTTTTTTGGCTTTGATTCTTGAAGTGTTACGTATATTTTGTCCAAGTTATACCACTGAATCCAGAGAACAGTTATTTTCCATTATAACACGTCCTTTGTGAGTAAATCAAGATGTTTGCAGAAGTTTTGTTCTCAACAGTTCAGAGGACGAGCTCTTAGAGCTATATGTTTTATAATTATATTTGACTGATTCAAGAAGTTTATTGAATTTTGAGGATTCTCGAACTCCTGAGATCTGAACAATCCCCTTCAACTACCACTCTCATGGTGACATTTCCAATTAACACCCACGATTTACTAAATGTCACTATTCTTATGAGGTTTCTCACAGAAAATGAGTTTAAATTGTGAGGTTAGATCATATAAACGTTAATCACTCCTTATAGTGGCCGAAGAACTCTGTTATGTTTAGCCAGCAGGCAAATGGTAAACTGAGTTTAATAATTTCTTTTTTTTCTCTCCCCAGTCCTGTCCATGCAAGCCAGGTCTCTCGTGTACTCCTATCGGAAAGTACCCAGGTCAATCGTTTTACCAATGCTTGAAACCCAAAATTCAGCACGACCCCGCTAACATGGCCTGACCTGCCGAACAATAAAGCGCACTCCACATCTGTCTGTTTCATTCAGATATGTATTAATAAATGTGAAAATCGATGACGAAAAGAATTAATTGTATGGGTGTCTATACAAATACTTTATTTATCTGGTGTAAATCTGCCAGCGTTCTATACAAAATATCGTCGATTGCTATTCATTCCATCTGGCAAAACTAGATATTTCACGTTGTTATGCAAATTCTCGAAGTGGGCACAAACCTTTGGCCTCTGGTGGTCCAAAGTCCAAGGGTTCTAAATTTAGAATCAAGCTTTAGTCAGGGATCTGAATAACAACCTCGAAGTTTCAGGAGTAGAGTCTCTGATCAGTTGTCCGATGTGCTTGAAGTCAGTCTCTTGATTCGACCAGCAATGGCCCGAGCTGTTTTTATCAATTGATACGATGAAATTTGGGATTTGCAATGCATGTATAAATCCCCTTTTCTGAGCCACTGCCAGTCGGAGGCAAAGTCTTTACGGAAAGGCTACGTAATTAGATGTTTCCTTTGTTCGGAATGGAAAAACGCCGACGAAGCGAAAACAATCGTTGGAGTGCTTCCTTTCAAGTCCTTGCAGATCAGTGATCGAAAAAGAGTGCAAAAGATAGTAGACTTTGAATTTGGTAAACGAACTGGTAAGATGGGAATAATATCAAGCCTGGGAAGACATAGTGTTTTTTTCCACCTTTAGAACCGTAAAGGTGTTCATCAACGTCCCTGGATCATAATCCTGAAACGATCTCCAAGCTCTCAAAATGCGAGTTCTCCGTAACTCTCTTCTAAAGAGAAGTGTATGTATATGTATAGCTGCCAAATAAAATTTGTTTTACACAAAAAAGGCTCATCTCATTGAAAACCGGTGATTTCGCTTTTCCTTTCGATTCTTTACCTGTCTACGTTACAATTAGATTAAACTGATGTGTTCAAATAATTTGCAGCGGTTTTTCGGAATCCAATGATGGCCACGCCCCCCGAATTTGTTATTTTCCACATGGTCAGTAAATAGAAAAACAGCTTCAAAATTATTCATCAGGAAGATATTTTTCATCCGCGAAAAGGACAAACATGAAGGTGTTGGCAGCAATTTTAGTTTGCTTATTTATTCTGAAAACGTCGTCTGAGGAAATTCAACACTCAGCCGCACACGATAGACAGAAACGTCTAAATCTACCTGATATAGATGTAAGTTAGTTTACTTTTATAGCTCTAGTTCTATTACCCTTGAGACCTTTTTTCAACTTATTCTGGATACATAACCTAAAAATAAAATTATATTAACTCGATATCAATTTTCCAGAAAGCGGTGTCAGCTGATTTTAATTAATTTTTCCAAACGTTTTCAAGAACTTCGGACGAAATATTTTAATTCATGTAACACAATTACGATGTTCTTTCAGACACAGCACAACTCCTTGTTCCTAGTCCTTATCTGGTTTGAGCCTTACAGCAATCAATGCCTTACAGTACACCACAACTGTGAAGACATTAGAGCGTTGCTTCAGTTCTAAATTATAAAAGTATAGCCAGGTTGGACAATAGAGCACACAGTTGAATAACCATACTGTTTATTCTAGATTTGGATAAATTAATTAGATTAAGAAATTCTCATTTTTAGGCCAAAATAAAGTGTACGTTGAGTTCTTCAGAGAAACTTGAAATGCAATTATTAAATTACTGTTTCTCCCTTCCTCAGATCTGTGACACTGATGCAGATTGTGGCAATGAGCGTTGCTGTATTAAATATCTTGGTATTTGTGCCCCCAAAAGGGGGTTGGAAGAGTCCTGTAACTTTTCGGTATGAGTGCGAGGATCAATTTTTATTATGTGAGCTAATATGAGGAAAGAAAGGATTAGCTAAATGAAATCTGATTGGCCACGCGGAGATTTGGATATTACGTTTTTCAATCAGAGAAAACATCTTTATTAGCTACAGTTACTGGGTGTTTAAGTTCTCTTTCTCAATTTATTACTAAACACTCGCATTTTTGAAGTTTTTGACAAATTTATACTGTTTCCATTTTTCGGTAGAAGTGGATTTAATGCTTCAAGAAGAGAAGACTGTCACGTCTTCATTCAGATTTTGAATATGACTTTGTAACAATGCCCAAAATAAAATACACGGTACAGTGTAGGACAGGCGTTTCAAATCACACTTCATTGATTTGATGGCATGAGACACTTTTTTGTGTTACCCGTGAATTAAACACGATGTTTAAATTCCCAGACTAAAATGACCATATTGATTGCTATGTTAAAAGCAGTGAACGTTTGAAAGTGATAAACAACAACATTGTAAATGGTTGCGTACGTGCATCATAAGTTTTGCAAGATGCGCATATCATGTGGGATTAAGCTGTGATTTCATCTCGATTTCGTAATTAAATATAATCCCTTTGTTTTATCACAGCAATACCACGGATGTGGGTGCAAATCCGGGCTGTCCTGTCAGGTGGCAAAGTGTCTTGGTAGTTTAAAATACTATCGCTGTCTTCCACTTCTTCAGTAGAAACATCCGTTGATAAAGCACGCCGTGAATTCAGATGCTGTTCATATGCGGACTGAAAAATGTTATCACCCATGCGAAATAAAATGTGTCAGAAAGGAAGAGAATTACTCATCGTATTCCAATATAAACAGAGGCTATATACCATTATATGACCTGTTTCTAACTGTTTCCCTGACACCATGATTCGGGGCAGAGCAGTGGCGGGGGGGAAGGGTTGTAGAGGGTTGTTATCTACCTTGTCTGTTCTTCGATTTATTTTTTCTTAAGAAACCTTTGTTGTCAAATTTATCTTAGAGGTGCAGAAAAAGATTTAACACTGAACTCTATCCTGCGGGGGTTTTTTAACTTATTCTTAACCAGCGGCAAATACTTCTAAGTACAACAATGTTGGTGAACAGTTGAGTTAAAAAAAAAAAGGAAATGCCAGGTTGCATCTGAATGAATAGAAATTACAAAATTTTTGGCTTAAAAAAAAAAAAAGGCGAAGGCAGGCATTGTCACTTAAAGCAAAACTCAATTTTTTAATCCATGAAAAGAAACTTGTAGTTGTTCAAATAAAGCACAGCTGATAACAGTGAAATCTTTCAGCTTAGCGTTATTCATTTCTTGCGAACAAAAAGATTCTATTGAGCAAACCTCGAAGGAAGTGTCCCAATTCGGAAAGTGAAACAAAAGCAGTGTGGTAAAGCAAGAATACTGATCATCAAAACAAACAATATTTGATTTTCCTAGAAATTGAATGCCTATAATTAGTACTCGTTTCATAGCTATTCATATCAAGATAAACGTTCTTTTCAATAGGCAAGTTAGTCTTTTGAGACATCATTGACACAGAAGCGCAGCTGAAATACTGGTACATTTTGGGAAGATGGACAATGCTTTGTGTTCGAATTGAATCTATCTTGAATGCAAAACAGCACTGACATTTTTTAACGTACAAAATGTCAGAAATATCTTATATTGTTCCTTTTTTTCACGACTTTTACGTTCAGCTCTGTATAAAACTCGTTTAAAAGAAATATATCTTAGGTTTGTTGTAGATGGCGCTAAATTGTACATTGTGTACCAACATGTAGCTGTTGCAACAGAAATGAATTCTTTTGTCTCCCGAGTGACGCAATCTGATAACGAAACCAAGCTTTGTAAACAAGCATTTCTTTCTATTTATAAGAGAGTTGAGACGACAAAAAAAGGCATAAATCGGTTGTAGATTTGTTATCTTTGGCATCAAGAACCATTTGAAAAAAAAGGAAAAATGAAGGTCTTGGCTGGACTTCTTTTGTTTGTGGCTTTCACTGCCAGCTATAAAATCCCGGACGAGCAAGAAAGAGAAAAACGGTTTATATTCGGGGTAAGCAGTTTTTATTTTAAAAAACATCATTGTCTCTTCTTTAAAAACTCCTTTTGCTGATCAAAAGGATATTTAGGGTTTTCATGTTAAAATAAATCACCACTCCAAAACTAGCTTGATACACTCGTTAACGGTTTTTTCCTTTGATTGTCAGGGAACGGTGAGAAACCGATAAACCCATTGCATTAAGCGCCATTACGATCTGATGCGAAAATAATCAAAAGTGCAAAGTGTCTGAATTCAAACGAACCAAAAATTTAAATTTTTCATAAATTTACTCTTTGATGACAAAAACATCTTCATACTTCCGTTTTTCCTCTTTTTTTGTTCTTCTTTTTCAACTCCTCTTAGAAATGCGACGCGGACACGGATTGCGGTGTCGAACGCTGCTGCAGTGTAATTGGAACATGCCACAACAAGAGAGGCTTGAACCAGTCATGTAACTTTAGTGTAAGTGATTTATTCAAGATCTATAAGTGAAGACAGTTTTGTGAGTTTTTTGTGTGTGTAAAGATAAATCCCAAACGAGGAAAAAAAACATACTCATTTTGTAGGATTTGAATTCATCATCCGCAGTAATCTCAGTTTGCATTCCTCGATCGCTTATCAGTTTAATCAATACAATATAATTTGAAGACAGTTGATATCTTTTAGATTTTTAATGAAATCCTCCTCTTCGCCACTTCACCTCTCAAAGACAATTCTTCTTCCCCCATTTCTTTCTAAATTTTAATAAACTGCCGGATCGGAAAAATGAATTTACCTTCAAAGTAGGGAAAAGTTTTTCCTTTTTTTACAGTATCAGTGTTCACAAATGTTCGCGTGAATCATTTCGAGCTACGTGTGATTCAAGCTAGTGGTTGTAGTATGGGTCCAATACTTCAAAATCAAGGGCGGGAAAATAAATTCATACCATACCATACCATACGGCAATAAATTCATACCATAATTATCAAGGACAAGGAAAATTAGAGAGAGGCCTAGTTGTTCGTAGAGCGCATAAGTCATAACAAAACGTGCGGCGCAATTCACCCTTTAAACAAACCTAACTTTAACCCGGATTGAGATGTTTTTTAAAAGTGATTTACCCAGAGCTTCTCAGCATCTGCTTGCTGCACTGAGTTTTGGAGACCAGATAAAATAGCACGACCCATCGCCGCTTAAATTCTGCAGGCACACAAACGATTATGAAAGCGTAGCCTGATTAATGATCAACTTTTTTTTGCTGTAGGGCATTCTTATCTGTTGTTAAACATTTTGTAGGGACTCCACAAGTGTGGTTGCAAATCCGGTTTGACATGTCAGCCAGTTTTTTCCATCGGATCACTTCCCATTTACCATCGCTGCAAACCGGCGCCAACTGAGGAGCCAGGCTCCGGTGACTTACAGTGAGAGGATGGTTCTTAGTTTGAAATAAACGGGATCCAAGAAACATTATCGCGAGAACTTTTGTTTACACTCTTCAATGGTACTATAGACTGCTTAGCAAGGGAAGAGGGGCTTTTCATAATCCAATCTATTAGACAAAGAATCATCAAAAATAGATTTTTGGCGCGTCAGTTACTGTGCAGACAAATCTAGCGGGCACTAAAATAACCCTATGTTTACCTTTTTGCACTCGAATTAGCGGCGCTAAAGGTGTTTATTCGAAAGGGAAGAGTCAGAGGGAGGTCGAAATCGGATTTCAAATTTCGGCTCCAGGATGACATTGTCTATGTTTTAAATTTATCGAGAAATTGAAACATCAAAGAGCATCATGGGACGGTAGCTTCAGGGATGGGTTCAAGAATTTGGAGGAATACATGGGGAAGGCCTTACAAACTGACCTTTCATCGCTAAATCGATGACTATTAATAACTGTATGTTGAAAATACTGGGTTGGTCCCAAGAGCAAAATAGGGAATAAAGTAATACAATTCTCAAGGGTTCAAATGATCGAAACAATAATTCTCATGAAAACGTCGCGTTGGCTATCGACTAACCTTTTGCGCCATTCAAATTACTCCATGAGAACCAATCCACTCAGTTCCATACCCTCACCACACTTTGGTTTTGACCCGCTTTGCATGTAGGGAAATGGAATATTTGCTTTTTGGTCCGATGGTATTAAGCTTGAGCAGTAGTTAAACGTATAAATGTACCATAAGGGACTCGAATCAGAAAATCAGAAACAGTGTCAATCATACTACCTCTTTAATGATTCAGTTTCTAATCAATTCAACAATCATTTTACATTTTATGCATACATTTTATTTTTAGAAAACTCCTTGATATGTAATAACAAACAACAATTAAGCTGCCCATGATACCCTAACTTTATACAAGTTTAGCTGATTACGATAAGATACGAGCTGCAAACTAACATCCGTTGATTATGAGACATAACTCTGATCATTAAAAGAACGTAATTGTCTGTGTAGTGCAAATCCTACTTTTCGATATAACAAGTTGCAGTGATTCTAGTTTGTGTGTTGTTAAATTGGAATGAGCCAAGCAAGCAAAATTCACCATCGCTCTGACGAAGGGCTAACGCTCGAAACGTCAGCTTTTTTACTCTTTACGGTGGCTAATTTACGTTTTCAACCCAGTTGTTAACACTAAATTACCTGCAAAATTCACCATTATGCGAGGTTTCTGGGAAAAAAATAATGAAAGGTGTTCTTTGACAAATGAGGTTATCACCAAGCCCGTTTTTCTCGCTTTAAGCTAAAATTAGAGTTTTACAAGGAAGCCTTATGTTTCTGTGATACGTTTCTTTGAAGGAAAAATGATCACAACTAGTCGTGCAATAATAGGGATTTTTTTCTATGTTATTAGCAATAATCAATGAGAGAAGGTTTGTGGCTTGTAATGATAGTGACAGCAAACCATTTTAGTTACTACAACACGGTGAGATAACCGGTAAGGCATCAAAAGAAGCTCGTAACTTCTTTGGACAGTTGCTGCGGTAATTGTTAAAAGCAACGTGCAGATTCTTCACATAGGGCTTGTTGTTCAACTTTTTCAGTTCGTGTGCTGAAAATGAAAGGAAAAAATAAATTTCTATAACAAACAACGAACACAACTAAAATGACGCGTGAAGCGGGAACGTTTATGTCGCTTCCACTTAACCTTTGATAAAATTTTTGACCCTCTTTATTTATTCTGTGATTATGCATGAGACTTCCAGAGTAATTCGCAAAGTTTCAATTACACAATTAATTATACAAAACCAAACCATGCCATAGTAGAAATTTTGAAGGCAAGTTCAGACATGAGCTAAGGTTGTTCTTTCGTGGTATAACGAAACTATTGTTGTCTTAACCTTTGTCGTCCTGTCTGAAGTAACACCCTATTATTTTCACTATTAAATAAAAAACTTTTGACTCTCATTTCTTTCTTATTACAGGCCTGACAGTTTTCACAAATTTCCCTTGAATATTAAACCCTCTGCATTCAAGCCCTTTTGACTGGCTCTGAACATATGCGCCTAGACGATGTCCTTTTTTGAAAACTGAAAATGTTAGCCCAGGGGAAAATTTCCCTGAAATTTACGATATTAAAATGACGGACTCGACGTAAGCACCCGGCAACCCAGTAAGGTAAGCTTATAGCATCTAGCGGACCAATAATGCCAGAGCTTACCCCGATAGAAGCGAATAAGAAACGAACGGATTTTACCCTTCCAGTTCTAGTTTCCAGACAGTTTACAGAAACCCAATGATATTATTGGCGCTTGTAGGAGAGAGGCACTGTTAATTAATATCTAATCTTGAGCACAACTCAGTGAAAACATGAACCCAACCTCTTGATCGGGAGTGAAGCGTGCTACCAATAGGCTCAACATTGTACAAGACTGGTCCAAATACATTCCAGCGACAATAGCTATACGTGAACAAAGCTACCATGTCTCATTGACGTGCAGTTATTATGAAGTAGTAGGTTTTTTGACATGATAAATAATTCTGAAAGACTTCGACTCAAAGCTCATTACCTGTCTTTTTATGATCTTTGTTCTTCTTGTTTTCTGCCTTGATTTTCCAGACATCCTCTACGTACTCCTGGATACCCTTACCAGCTTTATACAATAAATCGAGATTCTTTTCCTCTTCCTCTTCCTCCTCCTCAGTCAAAAGCCCAGAATCATTTGAGAGTTGATCAGTTTCATTACTCACTTTGTTACCTTCCAAACACCAAAGAACAGATGTGATGAATTTGTTAATTATCCTCAATTTTCTTCATGTTATGACTGTAAGGATATTAGAACGAATGAGGTTTAACTTTGCTCTCAGATTACGTTCACTGCTGATGCTCAACTGAAGTTACCAACAAAGAGGTTTTCAAAGGGATTCACCTTTTTTAAAGTGAAACGGACCTTCACCTAACCAGTTTGTCGCATAATATGGCTGTATCAGATAAATTAAAATAAGAAAATGGAAGTTGAAGAAAATAATAGGAAAGGAAACAAATCGCGGGCAACTGGGTTTGTGTGCTCGCCCAATAGACTCCCAAGATCCAATGATCCCCATTAATCTATAAGAAAAATGTTTCAACCTAACCCCTATCATTTTGAATACATTTGAAGCCTTTAAGTGGAAGTAATGTGGTCAGAATCATCTGAAATGTAGTATGGTGTAGTTTTGCGCTTAAATAGTTTACTTTATTGTAGTGGTGTACTGTAATGCAATATACTGTAATGTGCTGTGGTGCAGTGTGGTGTGGTGTGGTGTGGTGCAGTGTGGTGTGGTTTAGTGTGCTGTTGTGTGGTGTAGTGTGATGTGGTGTGGTGTGATGTGGTGTAGTGTGATGTGGTGTTGTGTTGTGTGCTGTGGTGTTGTGTGCTATGGTGTAGTGTTGTGATGCGGTGAAGTGTTTTATGGCGTAATGTAGTGTAATGTTTGCAATAAAAAGTGCAATGAAATGTATTTTGGTGTAGTGTAGTGTAGTGTGGCGTAATGTAGTGTAATGTTTTGCATTGAAATGCACCGTAGTTACTTACCTTCTTTTTTGACAGCGGTAGCTTGTAATTGGTTCTCTTCATAGTACTCTTCAGCTGCCTGTTGTTGGATTGAAGTACGTCTTATTTCTCCCGTAGCCTCAAATTAAGATTATTATTTGCATTTTTTTGCATTAAGTTACGTTTGCTTAATTGTTGAATGGTTGGTCAATTATATAGACTATGGAGCTATAACTGACTCAGTAGGTCGAACTCAATTACATTGTTAGCATTAACCTACACTGTTATATTCTTCCCACCTCATTAAAATGTAACGGTAATATTTTCCATTTTCCTGCGTCCGTGCTTTGACTAAAATCTGATGCCCTAATTAATCAGCAATGCGTATAGTGATACGAATGTACAGAGGCACATTTAGGTGTTTTTCGATAAGAAGTATCCTCAACCTTGACAAAAAAAATCAGATCTTTCCTTCACCAACCTCAAGACTGCATGTGGCCACTGGTATGGCACAATTTTTATGGCATTAAAAAGAACTAGAGGTTGCATAATAACGCTAGAAGGTAGTGTTGCAGAAAATTTGTCTCACATGCAAAACTGAAAACCTGCCGCGTCCCACATATTAATGTGTACCCTATTCCAGAAGAGGAAGAGCATATTGTCTAATTGACATTCAAACAATAATTAAATGGTAACAAATAATAATATCAACAATTATAATAATGACAACAGTAGTAATATAGTGACAGCTTAAAGGGGGTAGCTGAAAACCTGCCGCATCCCAGATATTAATGAATACCCTATTCCACAAGAGGAAGAGCATATTGTCTAATTGACATTCAAACAATAATTAAATGGTAACAAATAATAATATCAACAATTATAATAATGACAACAGTAGTAATATAATGACAGCTTACAGGGGGTAGCTGAAAACCTGGAATTATTTTGAGATGTCTATTATCTTTTGTAGTGTCATGGCAAGAACTGAAAAGATTACATCTTCGGATCTAAATAATTTGCTGATTCAAAAGGTAAAATTCTCTCTCTTCAAAGAATTATTTTTCCTTTCAGTTTCATGATGCGCCAATCACACCTATTAAAACTATTTTTACATGGAGAACTTTTATTTCTGATCGCGCGCAATCCTCAAGTGATTGTGAGATATTTATCGACTTTTGCCGTATATCATAGTTTCACGGCAAGAACTGAAAACATAATGTGTTCCTGGTTAAAAACCACAAATCACAAAAGGAGAGAACTTAACTGTGTATCGAGTGCGAATGTCGAACTACTAAGATACTCCGAAACAAACAATAAGTAGCACCGGGAAACATCTATTGTTACACTCACTCACTCATTCAATCGCTCACTCATCTACTTTGCCTCCTAGAGGAGCCAGTAGCCACAGAAAGCATAGGCGGCAAGCACATAAAAATACCAGGGAAGAGAAATAAACTTTTCCACGAGCTATTTCGTTCAAAAATGAACTCATAGAAGAGTACGTACCTGACAATTAACAGTAGAGGCGGCTTCCGCTCTCTTCTGCCTCAACCCTAGGGTTTCAAAGGCGCACAATACTGCATCCCATATCGTCTGGAAAACAATGAGTGTGAACTTGACAATAGCGTCTTTTGCTTTCGTGAGAATTTCCCCGAGCCAATTGATTATGCCGGTGAAGGCATTTTTAAAACTGTTCACGCTGAAATTATTGCCCATTCTGAAAAAAAAAAAAAAAGACAGCCAGTATACAAACAATCAAACCACCTAAAACAAAAAATTATGATTTCGTAAATTTGTTCGGTGTAAATACCTCTTTTGCGCTCAAGTGAACGAGCAAACTACACTCTAGACAAGTCCACCAACAGTGCTTACAAAATAATAGCCTTAAATGTCGTTTCTGACTTAACATCGGGGGAGTTGGCGTGGGACTTTCCCATGGTCCCTCACGTATTCGAGTTTCGTGATTGGGTGATAACTTGAAGGGATTTTCCCCTTCGAATTCAGCACGAATTGATGACAATATGCTGACAACCAAATTCCAAGGTCGCTACGACGAAAATTGTTGACTTTTGAGATTTTTTCCACATTCGAGTTACCTGGCTACCTTCAGCTTCCAAAGTCGTTCAAAATTTGACTTAACCTCTGCCGGAATTTACTTGTTTCCAAAGTTGCTCATTGAAGCATTTTCTCTAAAAGCCATTTTTCACCGTAGGGGAAATTCCCGTTTTTTCTTTCACCTTTAAAGCCAAGTTCATCAGTTCTTGAGAAATACGCCTGTTCATGTTCAAGAGGAAATATAATGGATTATAAATAAATTTGGATAATCTTAATTTGGCTAAAAACCATATCGAATAAATGACTTACTTCTGTAAACAACAGAACCAGGGATTTTCCCCTTTCATGTAAGAAGGCGTTCTCAGCATTTCTCGTTTTGGGAAGACGAAAAAGATCAAACCAGAAATAAATGTATGTCTTTAAAAGAAAACAAAACGAAGTATGCTTGGGAGTCATCTGTGTCTTACACAGAATCACGGCAGAAGTAATTCATGAGTTCAGTTCCGTAGTCTACAAAACAGGAAGTTGGCGAATGGGGAAATTCCCTTTCGGGAAAGTCCCTTTGTTCCGGGAAAGTCCCGAGTTTACTTGATTGCAAATGACCGTTGTTCAAAGGCCATCGCCTCACCTTCTCTTTGTCTGTTAAAGTGGTCCACAAATCCGTCGTAAGAAACGAAGAGGAAAGAGCTGGATATTTAAAACACACTGAGAGCCCGAAATAAATTTGAATAATATTGAGTTGGCTAAAAAAAAAGATCGAATCAATATCTCACTTCCGTAAACAACACAACCAGGGATTTTCCCCTTTCATGTAGGAAGGCGTTCTCAACGTTTCTTGTTTTGGGAAGACAAAAAAGATCAAACCAGAAACAAATGTGAAAACAAAACGAAGTATGCTTGAGAGTCATCTATGTCTTACACAGAATCACGGCAGAAGTAATTAATGAGCCCAGTTCCGTAGTCTACAAAACAGGAAGTTGGAGATTGGGAAAATTCCCTTTCGGGAAAGTCCCTTGTTCCGGGAAAGTCCCTTTGTTCCTGGAAAGTCCCGAGTTTAATTGATTGTAAATGATCATCGTTCGAAGTCCATCGCCTCACTTTCTCTTTGTCTGTTCCACAAATCCGTCGTAGGAAACGAGAAGGAAAGAGCTGGATGATGAAAACACACGGAGAGCCTGAGTCTCGCATCAGGTAGTCTACGTTTTCTTTGACAAACACTCTAAAACATTCCGTTGAAATTTCATTTACGATGATAATTTAAATTGCTGTAATTTCAAACAGCACGTCTCAATGAAAAAATTTTCAGTTTAGTCATTCAGCAAATACATTTCAAACAGCACGTTTTTATGAAAAAATTTCAGTTCAGTTTTTTAGCAATACATTCTAAGGTTAAATGTATGTTTCTGAGCATAAACATCATTTGTTAGAGGCGATCAAGAGTACGTGAGCACAAGTTCTCTTGAAGCGACCAAATTCGACTTGTCAAAGTTTCAGATAGCGACGAGACTCCGCAAAGAATATTTTCTCAGCGCTCATTTATTTCTCAGGAAATATTCCCTAATATTAACTTTGTTCATTCCCATATTTTCTTAGGGAGTCCTTCAATTGCCCACATTTCCAGCGGAACACTTGTCTGATTCACTTCGCATGCTGCAGTGAGTGGTATCCTTGCCACAAATGCCACAATGACGCCTTGAAAAGGCAAGAGAATGACAAATCAATAGTGGATAATTCAAAATATAATTTCGGGGAGAGTGATATAGAAGAAGAAGGAGACGATTTGGGAGAGGGCAGTTCAAATGCCACTGGAATTAGCCATGAGCTCGAAGGTATAAGTTTACGTAAAGACTGTATAACAGTTTTGAACCTTATTCGTTTTTTTTTGGACAACCTATTTAATATCTCACATCGTTTGTCGACTATAGCTACCCCATGTAGTGTTTCATTTGATGACGCCAAAATGGAGTTAAGAGCTAAAACTTCAGATGCACCCAATGGCGAAAACCCCGAAACAGCCACCGACTACGAATCCTTGCAAAATAGGAACGACAGGGTTTCGTCAGGAATGGAAGAATATTCAGTGAGCAGAGAAAACAAACAAACTCAACAAAACACTACTCCTTGGGGAGTAAAAGGAAAGGTAAATTTCAATAATTGAATGCCATTTAAAGGAGCTATTAAGTTACTTGGAACAACCTATCTGCATAATTGGACGCGTATAACTTAACACTTGGTTATATACTTCTGAAATTATGAATAGATTAACACAATACATGTTCAAGATTGATGTTGAAGGGCGTCTCCCCGATTCTTTATGGCTAGGGGCTAAATCTGAAATGGAGTGGCAGTTTTTACGTATGAGCAAGAATGTGAATGTATCTTGCTTATTTCACCGGTGTTTATGGTAAAGTTTATTTTCATGGTTAATCGTTTCAAAAATTCTCAAATTTTTATGGTGTTCTTTCCCTCCTCCCCACTTCTTAATGTCCCCCGGCCCCCTCCCCGAAAATAAATGGCTATAATCTCTTTACCTTCAGATATCCTAGGCTGCACATCCAAGCTTAAGAAATCAAAATGTCCCACCACTAGGAATGAGTTTGACTAATCAACACTTGGTCACCACGGTTGTTAAATTAGTTTACTGGTAATGCTCTAAGTATAATAATGTTCTTATTTCTTACATAACATGAAGGGTAATGCAGAGGGAACTTCGTTTAACATAGAGGAAAACTTGTCACAACTCAATGGAGAAACAAGCATTTCCAGTGCGATATCTTCTGGCCAAGCAGCAGAAGGTGCCAGAGAACACGAAGGTTTATAAATAACCTTAAATAGAGGTTGACTCCTTTCATTCCCTCGTGACTCCTGTTTTCAAATAAACTTAGAGCACATTTTGATATATTATTGGGAAAAAATCTGACCTCAGATAGGTGAAAAATTTCTAACTTTGGGAATTGAATATTATAAGTATATCCACATTAGGTATATCTATTATAACAGAACTGTTGAGATGTACTCTGAATCTTCAGATTAAGTGTACTTTCAACTCACAAAACAAATGAACAAACAAAAAAGCCACAAAAAATTATAAATAACAAGGCAAAACAGACAAAACAAAACAAGAAACTGATAATGGAGTCAGTGATACATTTGTTTTTATCAGTTCACCGTGTACTCTAGAAGTCATGATTTCTTGCACAGTACAGACTGCTCTGTTATTGTATATTTGATATCTTAAGACAATCATATAATAAAATACTTAGGTTTAAAAGATGAAGCATCGACTGGTGACATAGAGGAAGAAAATCTAAATACTACCAATGGATCATCAAATCAATTGAAGAATAATGAAGAGATGCGCGTCAGAAAAAGTATGATGCAAGGAAATGATGAAGATAATTTACAACTCTCATCGGTCACTATAAAGGAGCATGTGCTAGTTACATCACGAGACGGAGGTCGCCTAAAGTGTATAGCATGTGACCACATACAGTCAAAGGTGATCTCTGTAATCAAGCAATTTATCCCCTCTTGTTACGGCCCTTTTTTATTTTTGTGAAAAATTTTTGAGATATATAAAGTGAAATTGTAATCCTATTATCAGGCCATCAACTTTACTAGATTTTCACTTTGACACTGTAAAATTATTTGTTCTGGTTGTTTGCTTTATCTAAGGTATTGATACCAACACAATTTTTCTTACAGTTTTGTCAGAAGTGTGAAAATGGGTCGTGCGGGAAAACATTTTCCAGTTACTTCTGTCCAGAATGTAAACTTTTGATCGAAAGTAGTGGAAGTGCTAAACTAGACCCTTACCACTGTGGTCCGTGCGGGGTATGCAGGTAATTAAATTTACCCAATTCTCTTTTGATATTTATTTCCATCAATCAGATTTTCGTTTGTACGGATACGTATAGAAATATCTACCACCATCGTAACATTATTGTACCCCTCTTCCTGTCTTCTATGTTGTCTTCATCCCTTCTCTGTCTTCTTTTTATGTTGAATCACTTGCTTTCCTCTTTTGTCCTTATCTTCCTTTTACTTGCCCTTTTTATCTTTTTTGTTGTGAGTCTTTTTGTCGTTGTTGCTATTGTTGCTTTTGGCACCAGTCCTTCTTGTTGGTCCTCGTTAGGTCTTCTTCACTCCTTCCTTCCTCTTCTCTTTCTTTTCCAACTATCTTCACTAGATTATTTTTCACCAACATCTTCATCATGGTTACAACCATTGCTAACACCCTTTATCATTATCACCTTCATTATCATCATCATCTTCGCAGATGTTGTCACGTCATCTTTAGTCTCATCTCCCTTTAACTCCTCTTCCATTGCTAGCATAATCTTTTTCTATGCTCAATGACGCCTTGTCATTTAACTTATTGTTAAAGGACGATGCATCCCTTGAATTAGTCACTATCTCTGTTTCCAATCTTTGAAGGTTAAACAAGGAAGAAAACTTCCATTGCAACACGTGTAATGTTTGTATGCCACTGTCTCTGAAGGATCATAAGTGTTTTGACAATAGAGGTCACGATCCTTGTGCAATATGCTTGGAGGTAGGTGACATTTCTTTTAATACAATCGCTTATTTGCGAAAACTTGGAATATTGTTTAAGTGATTGATTGACCGTTTGAATAAATTTTTCTTGAATTTCCACTTTGACTCCAAGGATAACCTTAAACAAAATTCAAGTAATTGAAAGTCTATTGCATTCAGAGGGGCTATCATTTCATAAAAACTATCATGAATTCATATCCTCAACTAATGATCTGAATGACCATTTTGATTGCTTCTTACTTGTATGGTGTATTGGAGTACAGACGCATAAATGACATCACCACCAACAACTTTTTACTGTGGGTCTTTTTAATAATAGAACAAATGTTTTTACCACATTTTGACATCATCTGTGATCTATCTTGACTCAATGCCAACTTTCTTGATGTTTGTAAGTATTGAAGTTCTTCTTCCTGTTCTCACGAAAATTATAAACTTGTCCCTAAAGTCAGGTATGTTTGCAGATAATTGGAAAACCATGTTAAAAATACTCGGGTT